GCCGGTGGGCTGACACAGAAAGTCGGGGCAGCCAGGTGAAAAAGACCCCTGAACTCAGCCCTCTCCTGCTGCTGCAACTCCCCTCCCAGGCAGCATCTTCCACTCTGCATCGCCTTCGAGGTCAACCTGCTGCATAGTCTATCCTCTAAGGGCCATGTGCCTGCCACGGTTATGGGAGTAGCCAGGGTCTCCTTCTAGGACCTGAGATGCTGTTGTAATTCACTCAAAAGAGTTAAGCCAGCCAGCCGCAGAGGAGAACGCATGGAATCCAAGTGTAAACCCAGAAGCCCTCTGCCTGTTGCTCAATCTAGAGGGCATATTTACAGAACTTTCCCCTTCTACATATGAAATCTCTCAAGAATACAATTGTGTAAGGTTTGTGTTGCTGGGGACTCCTACACGGGGAAGGGCTGGGGTAGGGAGGGAGTTAGGGCTGAAAAACTACTAATTGCATGTCATGCTGACCACCTGGATGGCAGGCTCCCTAGAATTCTGCCCAGACCTCACCATCACGCAACAGACCCAGGCATCATTCCTGCACATTGTACCCTTTGAATCTAAAATGAAGTGAAGATTAGTGTTAGTTGCAACATAGTGGAACTTTGAAAGCATTGTGCGTGTATTGTACGAAGGGGACCCAAGAAAAAACAGAATTATCTTTTGGAGGGCTTGTAGTACAGACCCTTGTAGTACAGGCTTCCTCCACTAGGTAAGTGTTCTAAGAACCCATCGGCATCAGTGTATCCGCTAGCATTGTTGTGAGCGGCTGCATTCACCTTCAGTGATTTTTTTTGTGGCAAACAAGTAACATGATTTTTCCATCGTGACAACACACCTACCCACAGTGCCAACTGGAAAAAAAACTCCAAGGCCTTGGTTGAAGAACAGATGCTTTTATTAAAAAATATACTTGATGAAGTAGCAATATGGTCTTTGAATTGGAAGAATAAGGCATCCAAGCTGATAAGAGCTGGGGGACATATATCATCCTTCGAATGTCACATATTGTCATGGGTCTTAACTGTTTTCTGGAAGGCATTAAGGAGGTTTCTGTAGCAGTCCCCTGGGGCAACTTGCAGATGCAGTTCCTCAGATCTACAGTGGCAGCTTTCGGGATTGTGTCTTCTACACTTGTTTCTAGACGGAACCCAACACCGACGCCATGACACTCATCAGTGTCCACTCCTGGCAACAGCACTAACACAACGTGTGCATTTTTCTTAGTCGGACATATTGGCCAGCACATGACTCCTTTGGTGAGCCTGAGAAAGGAGATGATAGAGACAGATGGAAACACTGAAATAGAGCAGCAAGACGTGGCAGAGTTCTCCAGGAGAATTGTTTAACATGTGCTGCCCTTAGGGACGTTCCATAACCCTGAGAGAATCCCCACCCACCTAAACATTAGGTATGGGATGTTCTTCCCTGACGGAAGTGATTTAATGCTGAATAATGGGCTTAGGCATAATGATTGATGTGTGATTGCCTGTGGTGACGTTTTGGATAAAAAAGATGGCTCAGAGTTTAATATTTTAGAGAAAAGAAAGCAATGGGTGGGGCACACGGGTATGATCACGTAAGCAACTGCCAACAACTTAAGTGAACGTTTCTGTAGAAGGCTTGACGACTTGACTAAAGACGCCTGATCACTTCACCTCCACCCACCAAAAAGATCATCTAAGAGAAGTAAGAGCGTAAACAACCTATCTGCCTAGCAGTTAGACAGGGGAAGAAGCTCGTTCCACTCACTGACTGAATTATGGCCGCACTCCACAAGAACCTTAAAGGACAGTTTGACCATCAGCATAAATTGTTGAGCTATAGAGAGGGAGAAATCTTCAGTGTCCTACTGCTGATGCCAAAATATCAAGCCAGCATGTCTGGTGAGGTGGGGTAGGGAAACCAGAAGTGAGGATGAATTGCCAGCATCTGCCTGGCTCTGGTTGCTGTTCTGGGCGCCATGCTGTGGTCTCTCCCCAGGCTCCTCCCACAAGCAACACTGTGTCCAACTGTGTTATAGTTGGTTCTCACACATGACGCCAATTCACAGGCAGGAAATGGCCTATGCCTCTTTTCCCCGTCTCTCTGCATTCTGTCCTTGATACCAGGACCTCAAAAGCCTTCACTGGATCCACTGTACCTAACCTCTAGGCATAAAAGGTCAAGATGTAGCTTTCCTGACAATTCCAATATGTGTGCTCCCCTTGCCTTCATCAGGAGGGGGGTGCTTGTTTTAATAATGGAGTTATTTTGTTGTTAAAAGTTACTTTGTGTTTTATAAGTGGGTCTTTGTATGCACATACAAGCACCCAAGACACGTCCTTGTCAACACTTGTTATTGTCTGTTGTTTTTGCTGAAACCATCCTCGTGAGTATAAAGTGGCATCTCACTGTGGTTTTCCTTGCAATGATGCCGAGCATCTTTTCACATTCTTTCCTTTGTTTTCGTCTCTCTTTCTCTCATTAAGGAATGATCAGAGCTGGAGAAACATAATTCAGTTGCTTGAGAGTTTCCAAAGGAAAAAAAATATCTTACTCATTTTTATATTCACAGCACCTCACACAATGTAAGCACATAGTAACTGCTAAATAAACGTTTGCTGAATTCATGAACAGGTGACTGATTGAATGAACACACAAAGCATTCCCATTCCCTTTTGTCCTACCCAGATCCTTCCCAGAATTCCATTTTTTAAAAATGTCTGATGAGAGTTCAGAAACCCTTGAAGCAAACTCAACAGATGAATCATGGCTTGCATGATGCAAAAGTAAACCAAGAAAAGCTGTGATATTTAAAAATATAATCCTGGATGTTATCAAATCTCACTTTAAAGTCATGTATCAGCCTCCCAAGAAGGAACATTCTTCTAAATTAAATTTTGAGAAAATCAATTTCTAAGAAAGTATGAAAATAAATCATTTTCTTTGCTTTCCTTGATGGCTTTTTTTTTTCCTGAAAATAAGCCTCAGTGATCTAGTTTAATAAAAAGTTTATGAAAATGTCATGACAAGATATTCAATAGGCATCTGTCATTTCAACCTCGCTAATCTTCACTGAAACCAAGAAGAGTTTACTGAGTCAAAAAACTCTAAGAACCATGATCAGGAGAAAGAACGATTTTTGTTTTCTCAGCCTCTCCCTTCATCTCCCAACAAATCATGCCTCATTTTGACTTTTTGGTCATATCTAAAATTACAAGGGAGAGACCCCCCCCAAAAAAGGAATTTATTTATTTAAAATGTGTGTTTATTCTTACATGTTTAAACTTCAGTCACCTTCAAAGAAGTCTCTGTTTGATACGAGACACCTGTCGAGACACTTTTTCCACTGCTCAAAACAGTTTTTGAACTCATCCATTTTGATGTGTTTTAGTGCTTCTGCCATTTTTGTTTCACCTCTTCCACAGTGGCAAGACATTTCCCTTTGAGGGCTTTTTTTTAGCCAGGAAAACAAACAAAAAGTCTCTTGGGGTCAGATCGTGTGAATAGGGAGGGTGAGGCATGGCGGTTATGCTGGTTTGGGTCAAAAACTGAACACTCAGCACATTCATGGACAGGTGCACTTGTAAATCACTCATCATGAAATGGGCAAATGCATAGAAAGAATCTCCTTGAAAAAAATTCTCTCACAACTATGCTTGCTGGGACACTGATACTGATGGATTCCTAGAACACTTGCCTAATGGGGAAAGCCTGTACGACAAGAGGCTGGTCCTTCAAAAAGATAATTCTGGTTTTGGGGGCCCTACGTGCTTCTTTGATGAACTATGGATGTATGTTAGACTGGATTTGCCTTTCTGAATCAGTTTCTTGTGTAGGGCCCTCATCTCCAAGGTTAGGGAAAGAAGTAAAAACAGGTTTTTTGCTTTTAAGCTTTAGCTTCCCGGGTCGAGGAATTTAAACTAATAAATTCACTGTACACCACTCAAGAGAGTTATCATGGTTGGATTTTCTCTTTTTCTTAATAAATAAAACGTTGACCATTCCTCACTACCCAGTGTTGTTAGATTATGTTCCAATAATATCACAAGTTTACCTAATTTCGTTTCAGATGGCCTAATTCGCTCTACTAAATGTTAACTCTATTTTTAGAAAAAAAGACCAACGTAACTTATCCTGGAGGACTAGAAGTGAAGAGATCTGGGTTTTAGTCTCTGCTGGTAATTTCTAGTGTGACCCAGAGGCCTGTTTCCCCACCTCAAAAATACAAAATCATCTCCAGGACCTTCGGCCATTACACTTTCTGAATTTATTGCATGGGACTGTGATTCCAAAGCAGACCGAGTCTTTTAAGATCAGATTCTGGACCGGGCACTATGGCTCAAGCCTGTAATCCCAGTACTTTGGGCAGCCGAGGCAAGAGGATTGCCTGAGCTCAGGGGTTTGAGACTAGCCTGGGCAACTTGGTGAGACCCCATCTCTACAACTAAAAATATATATATATATTAGTAGGATGTGGTGTCACGTGCCTGTGGTTCCAGCTACTTGGAAGGCGGAGGTGGAAGGATCACCGGAGCCCAGCAGGTCGAAGCTGGGGTGGCCGTGACCGTGCCACTGTACTCTAGCCTGAGCAACAGAGTGAGACTCCAACTCAAAAAAAAAAAAAAAAAAAGATCAGGTTCTGAAATAAGCTTGGTGAGAAAGAGTGTGTTACCCAGAATTCAGAGCACTCCGGGTGTTTCAGATCCTGGCCTCTCTTCTTGACCCGTTGGTTCCATCGCCTTCCTGCCACTCCCACCTGTGCCACAAGAATGAGCACTCCTGTTTCTAGGGCATTCTGAGATCCTGGGCCCAGCGTTACCGCTATGAGTGTACGATCCTTACTTCATGAAGAAATGAAGCCATAGTCTTTGGTTTCATTAAGTCTGTTCTGCGTCACCACCGCTTGTCAAACTTGTTCTGTCTCTGGCCATTACACTTTAGAAAAAAAAGTGGTTAGAGCGTGTCTTTGACCTTAATAGGATTTTTTTTTCACGTTCTTCTTTTTATCTTTTTCACAGGGTACATTCCCAGTTACCTGGATAAGGACGAGCTCTGTGTAGTGTGTGGAGACAAAGCCACCGGCTATCACTATCGCTGCATCACGTGCGAAGGCTGCAAGGTAACTGCCCTGGGTCCGGGAGCACAGAGCTCAGCCCGGCTCCAGTCCCCACCCTCTCACCACCCCTGCACCCTACCAGAATGCAACGTCAAGTCTGAGTTCAAATTAAAACCAAATGCTGGCCGGGCGTGGTGGCTCAAGCCTGGAATCCCAGCACTTTGGAGAGCCGAGGTGAGAGGATTGCCTGAGCCCACGGGTTTCGAGATCAACCTGGGCAACTTGGCAAGACCGCGTCTCTACAATAAATCAAAAAAATTAGCCGGGCGTGGCAGCACACACCTGTGGTTCCAGCTACTTGAAAGGCTGAGGCGGAAGGATCGCTGGAGCCCAGAGGTTCGATGCTGGGGTGGCCGTGAGTGTGCCACTGCACTCCAGCCAGGGTGAGGGAGTGACACTCTGACTCAAAAAAAACCACCAAATGCTAACACCCATGGCCTGTGATCGTCCAGGTGTCTGGTTGTGCTCTTCATTTCTGACATTCAAGAACTGATTTTTTTTTTCCCCAAATCATCAATAACCAAATGAAGTTTATGAGAATGTGACGTCTGGTCTCTTTATCTCTACGTTTTTAAAAAAGAAAGAGAATCCATAAAATGAAGAGAAATGACTCAAACTCTTACTTTTTAAGAAGCAGCATAGATCTTTTTCAGCATGTCATCGTCATCTCAAGTCATGACTATCCCTCCTCGTTTTATCCAACATGCTTGAGAAGACAGAGTTGAAGGGACCTCAGGCTGCTTCTCCACTGTCAGTCCGAGAGACTAGACTCTCTGTAAGGGTTCCAGTGGAGAATATCTTTGAGGCTAGCCTCAGTTGTGTTCTGAAATGATCAGAGTGGCTTTCCGCACAGGCTGCAGGTAGTAAGTAGGCTCTGGTCATCCATCAGCTAATCGTGTGTGCTACAGACCCAGCTTCATGAGACGCTTGACAAGAACACCTCGGAGACCCACAGTCTATTCACTTCCCTCTCACAATCCCCATCAGCAAAATTAAGACAAACTTTCTGGAAAACACTTTCGGATCCAACAACCTAGCCTAGAAAAGAGAAGTCAACCATAAAAGCAAGCCCAACCTCACCCAGAGCCGTGTCCAGTGTTCTGCTGTGTAAGTGAGGAAATATTCAAAGTCAGGGGAGGACTTTTTACATTGTTCTCTTGTTAAATGTTTCATTTATCTTTTATATTTAAAAGTAAATGACCACAAGATATAAATCCCAAAGCAAAAATTGTGTTAAAAAAATAAGCACAGGGCTGGGCGTGGTGGCTCACACCTCTAATCCCAGCACTTTGGGAGGCCAAAGTGGGAGGATTGCTTGAGACCAGGAGTTTGAGACCAGTCTGGGCAACATTGCAAGACCTCATTCCTATAAAAAAAAATATACAGTTTAATAGTGTTTGAGGAAAATTCCTAGTTTTTCCTAGAGCTTTACTTAGTTTATTTCCCTTTGTGTATGTACAGGAATGGTTTGGGGAATTTGGGGGTAGGAAAGGGGGAGTCTCCTTGCATGAATAAAGAAGAGAAAGTCATATAGGTCGCCTCAGTTAATAAGTTCTTTCTTGCCAGGCTCGGTGGCTCAGCCTGTAATCCCGTGCCTTGGGAGGCTGAGGCGAGTGGATTGCCTGAGCCCGCGGGTTCGAGGCCCGCCTGGGCAACTTGGCAAGGCCTCAGCTCTACAATAAATCAGAAAAATTAGCCGGGGGTGGTAGCGCGCGCCTGTAGTTCCAGCTACTCGGAAGGCTGAGGCGGAAGGATCGCCGGAGCCCAGCAGATCGAGGCTGTGGTGCTGGAAGTGGCCACTGCACTCCAGTCTGGGCGACTGGAGTGAGACTCCAACTCTAAAAAAATAAATACATAAAAATAAAAAATAAATTCTTTCTTTTCATAGCTCTGATTTAGTGGGGGAATCTCCATCTCCTGGTTAGAATAATTAAATATTTTAACAGTACAAGTTCCCAAGTCATGCAAAATCGAGTCAATACTATGACACCAACCCTTTCCCTAATAAGACTTTGGCGCTTTATTAAAACATAAAAATAAGCCGGGCTCGGTGGCTCAGCCTGTAATCCCGTACCTTTGAGAGGCTGAGGTGAGTGGATTGCCTGAGCCCGCGGGTTCGAGACCCGCCTGGGCAGCGAGACCTCATCTCTACAATAAATCAAAAAATCAGCTGGGCATGGTAGCGCATGCCTGCAATTCCAGCTACTCGGAAGGCTGAGGCGGAAGGATCACCGGAGCCCAGCAGGTCGAGGCTGCGGTGGCCGGGAGCGGCCACTGCACTCCAGTCTGGGCGACAGAGTGAGACTCCAACTCAAAAAAAAAAAAACATAAAAATAATAAAAATAAATAAAAATTTAAAAAATAAATTGTCTAAAAGAAAACAAAAAATATAAAACATTTCTACCTTCCCTTTCTTCTCTTCCTTCTCTTCCCCAGCGATTCCCTTTCTTTCTGCCTTTTTTGTCTGGAAGCCCCCAAAATCAACGTGTTGGGTCAGTCTCAAACCAACATGTGGCCTGTTTTCCCCTAATGGAAGATTTTCCAGGCAAATTTGCTACTTTTCGTGCATGAAATTAGGAAGCATTTAGGAGAGGACTGTTAAAAACGTGGAGGTTTCCACCCTGTGGAAAGAGGCAGTTTCGAGGGTCCCAAGTCCTCATCTCCGCAAAACCGTCGAGATATGCATGTCCTTATCCACGCAGATCCCTTGACCTCTTTGACGGTCCTTTAACAAAGCCTGGGCTAAGATTTGCCATTACAGCTAGGAAAATAATGTCTTAGGGAATTTAATGAAGCTAATTACAGGGATGCCCTGGCTGTTTATTAATTAGCCAGACTGTCTCTTAAAAGCACCGTTTTATTGGCTTGGTTTGAAAGTAATAAAACTACACAACTCTAGGTGCATGCTCGCATTCCAAAAGCTCAGTCCTTCAAACTAGCCTTTTTTTCTAAATGAGCCCCAATTTACAAGGCTTTCCTTACCAGAATATGCAGCACTGAGGTTCTCTTAAATCAGCGCCTAATGGTACATTTTGAATTCTGGGAGGAGAGGCTCTAATGAAAATTCCATTTAGTACTTAATTCCCCAAAACTCAACGTGCTTTACAGAGGACTTAGTGCATCATCTGTGGTTGACTTAAACCAAGGGAGAATTGAGCCTATTAACCTGTGTCCCCGCCTCTTGTGTGTCTTCACGAATGATCAAGAAGTCAGCTAGCCTCTTTCCCAAGATCACACGGTATTTGGGGCCTGATTTAGCTGAGGTTTTCCGAAAAGAAAATATAAAAAAGCGTGTGGCACAAAGCTAGATTTCTCAGCCTCTGTGTCTTCATCTCAGATCAGAATCCTGTTCCTAGGACGGCCTTCAGCATAACATCAGACAAGAGCTTGGGGGGGGCGGGTTATGCAGATCACTGAGTATAATGGCAAAGCATCCTGGGAAATGACAAAAGAGTGTTTCATATTGCAACACAGTCTTTACAAGAGGTGAAAGATGGACAAGGTTCTGCTTCGTACATTGGTGAGTCTAACCTGTCATTGAAAACAATTTCTACCACATACTTGCGATATGGACATGAAGACTCTTTTTGGCTTATTTTTGCCCTAACAACAGTGAAATCTTTTGCAGAAGCCATCTCTGTTGTGATGTGCCTGTTTTTACGCTTTTTTTTTTTTTGAGTCGGAGTCTCACTCCATCCCCCAGGCTGGAGTGCAAGTGGCACGCTCATGGTCACCCCAGCTTCGACCTGCGGGGCTCCAGTGATCCTTCCACCTCAGCCATCCAAGTCGCTGGAATCACAGGCATGCACCACAACGCCTGGCTTATTTTTTGTAGAGACGAGGTCTCAACAAGTTGCCTAGGCTGGTCTCGAACCCGTGGGCTCAGGCAATCCCCTCTGCCCCCCAAATTGCTGGGGTAACAGGCTTGAGCCACCGTGCCCGGCCATGCTTTTTTTTTCTTTTAGAAAGAATGTTGATACTTCTCCACAGTAAACCAGTTTTAAGGAAGCATCAAAGCTTTTTCACAGCTACCCAGATATTGAACTAGGAGAGAGACTTAGCTCTTTCTCACATTGATTAGTGCATCCTCTCTAAGAACTAAAAAACGAATCCAATTTTTCTCTGAATTCAAAGAAGCATGTCAGATATTGATTTCTGAAAGCAAGACCGCTGCTCACCAGGAAATCACCAATGAAATATATGTTCTTATTTATTCTCCAGGGCATCTCTTTATCAGCTCACTTCTCAAAGAATTTTTTTTTTAATAAATAGACTATTTTAAATGACTTCTCTTCAAGTTCTCTTCTAGGAGTTAATTTTTTGTCACTTTTTAAGTTAAGGGATCTAGCATGTTTATGATGACTCAGACAAAGTGGTCCCTTATCATATATCAAAGTATACTTTATTCGTGCTTAAGGAAGGCTAGCATCTTAAAAGAGATTTGGTCCATGAAGTGCCCAAGAAATGTCCTCAGAGGTAAGCCACAGCAAAGACGGCCCAATGAATAGCAGAGCTGGCCACCTCAACTCTTTCTTCAAAATAAGCAAAGTATCAATCATTTCATTCATCCGAATAAGAAGTGCACAGAGTAGCCCTTTCCGTGTTTTCCTTGCGTCTGGTGTATTACACTTCATTCTCTCCTTAGTATTGTCTGACCCTTAAATGTGCTCCCTGCCCCACCGCCAACATGAGTTCACATCAGAGTGTGAGGGAGGAAGGGTCTCCCCAACTCCAGATGCACCCAGCATTCTCCCCGGATGCCTTGGACTCTGGTATTTCCACCTCTAGGAGGTTGTTGCCTCTTCCAGAAGGAGGTACGCCACCCACCCCCTGCCTGTACCATACGTCTTCTCGCCAGGAATCTCTGGGTTTCTTCTTCCCTCTGTTTCCCTCCTGGGACTGAGGGTTCAGAGGCAGAGGAGGGAGGGCTGCAGGGAAGCTTGCGCTTCACCCGCACGCTGTGCTCTGACATTCACGCTTTGGCACAATTTGCCCACCTTGCTCACCCAGCAAAGCATTGCTGACGTCTCCAGCAGCTGCCCCGTGTGAGCTAGTGAATTCCATCATGGCACATCGCCATCTTCCAAACGGTTAATGGTGAGGGACACAAAGCCCAAATATAGCATGACAGTTTTTCAGTTAGAACTTGAGCGATGGAGTTGGTCAGAGATTTGCACATGTGCGCCCAAATTTAGTCCATTGGCCTCCATTATTTCTGGTGTTTTTCTATCTGATTCTGCTTTGCCCAATAAGAAATCTTACCTGGTCGTGTGTGGTGACTCAGCCTGTGATCCCAGCACTTTGGAAGACCAAAGCTAGAGGATTGGGGCAACTTGGTGAGACCTCGTCTCTACAATAAATCAAAAAATCAAGTCAGGCATGGTAGCACGCACCTGTAGTTCCAGCTACTTGGAAGGCTGAGGTGGAAGGATCTCCTAAGTCCAGCAGGTTGACGCTGGGGTGGCCATGAGCGTGCCACTGAACTCCAGCCTGAGTGACAGAGTGAGACTCCAACTAAAAAAAAAGAAAGAAAGAAAAAAAGAAATTCTACCTTGGACCTTTTCATGATAAGGAAGAGCTTTTGTTTCTAAGTGAGAACTATGTTAGTGGGTATATGTACAAAATCAAAGCTGAAGAAAATTAAACAGAATGACAAGAGTTTAGGCTGAATCTAGGCCACCTGGTATTTCAGTCTCTCTGTTTACCTGGCAAAGTTAGAAGCCCCCATAAGTTCTAGCAAAGGACATCCATCAAAACCGCTTTATGTCTATTCTTATTAAAAAAAAAAAAAAAAAAGCTCATTTTGTTTGCTCTTCTACCAAAACAGATAAAACTGATTCATTGGAGAGGTGGTGGAAAAAGGACTATTTATAATCTGTTCATCTGAAACATTTAAATAATACAGAAACATTCCTTTTATTTTGCATCATAGAAGCAGTTAAGCAAATAAGATTTGCAGTGCGATTCCTGGGTTGCACGCCAGGTCCGGCGTGTACTCACCACGTGATGTAGGGCGAGTGATTTAGCCTGTCTGAAGTTTACTGTTTTCATCCCTGCAGTGAAACTAGTAAGAGCGCCTCCCTTATGAGCCTGGAGGGTGGATCACAGGATCTGGAAGGGTCTCCAGCACTTTGCAAGGTGCCTGGCGCATAAGTGTTCCCTGCCATAATTAACTCCGACCATACGGAATCCAGTTGTCCAGAAAGTGCCAGTATTGTACCTCCTTGAGAATATTACATAAGTCACCCAAAACTAGAACTAAAAAGCATCCTCAGACGCTACAGAGACACTCTCTAGTGCCTTAAGAAAGGAAGAAACACAACACATTGAACTGGTAGGTGTATGTCTACAGATGGGAAAGGTCTGGTAGAAAATCTGAAATGTTCGACCCTCCAAATGCTGTTGTTTAAAGGCTAAGTGAGTCGGTCATGGCCATCTCAGGAGCCAAAAGCAAGAATTAAACTGAATCTCTCATGGCACCTATTTAACTATGAAATGATTCAATTATTAATAAAGTATTACAAGGACCCATCTTGTTATTTTTTCCTTCACTTTCCTCTTAACCTTGGACGAAGCTCTTTTATTTTCCAGCTCCTCGTGGCTTAATCTGGTGGCATAATTAATCTAGCAACACCTTATGAGATAAGACAATATATTTTATTGGATAGAAACTATTCAATGTTTAGAAAAAATAAAAACAAGCCCTAGTTTTTCCCATGAGCCTTTTTTTTCCTTGAATAAATGACCCCCCAAAAAAGGCACTGACTCTGTAGGCCTTGGGCATCTCCTTCAGCTTCTCCTTCGAATTCTCCAGATCGCTGTGGACCATTTGTTCTAGATTTGCGTATGGAGAGCTAGAGGCCCAGATACAGGCCAAGGGCCAAGTTTATCCTGTGGTTTAGCTTGTGGTTATGCAAACACAAAATTCTAGAGAAGATGAAATGGTTGTCTCTTGTCTTTCTTTCTCGTGTAGGGTTTCTTTAGGAGAACCATTCAGAAAAATCTCCATCCATCCTATTCCTGTAAATATGAAGGAAAGTGTGTCATAGACAAAGTCACGCGAAATCAGTGCCAGGAATGTCGCTTTAAGAAATGCATCTATGTTGGCATGGCAACAGATTGTAAGTAGATCTTCATTTGCTTCCTATATTCAAGGAGTGTTGGTTGGGAAAGGGTTGGAAGTTCAAGAGATCAACCGGGCAGAAAAAGAAAGCGGGAGGCTAGCTGGGCTCGGTGGCTCTGCCTATCATCCCAGCACTTTGGGAGGCCAAGGCGAGTGGATTGCCTGAGCCCGTGAGTTTGAGACCAGCCTGAGCAACTTGACGAGACCGCGTCTCTACAATAAATGAAAAATTAGCCGGTCGTGGTAGCATGCACCTGTAGTTCCGGCTGACTTGAAAGACTGAGGCAGAAGGATCGCTAGAGCCTAGCAGGTCAGCACAGGGATGGCCATGAGTGTGTGCCCAGGCAACCGAGTGAGACTCCAACTCAAAAAAAAAAAAAAAAAAAAGCAGGAACCTGTGTGGACAGAGAGGGGAATACCTGGCTTTTTTCAGGTTTGCCCTGGAAGGGATGTGGGATCCATTGCTGAATGGTTTCCATCCCACCCCTCTTATGTCAACTCCTAACTCTCAAAGTATGGAGGGTGGGGAGGAAGAGTGGCTGGACCATCCCTGTCACCTGTGTCAGATGGTTAGCAACATTCTGTTCATGACAGATTCCAAATGAGAGGTCTTGCCCTTTACCTGGATAAGTTATCAGTTCATGTTTACCTGGACAAGGTATCATCTCACACATGGCGTTTGTGTGGTGAGAACCTTGTGGACGAGTCCTAACATTTTTTTCAAAAGCAAAGACAGGAACTTGTTTTACAGACATTTTTGGCGACGGGGCACTGGCAGAAAACATCGTGTTCAGAAATTTCTGAAGAATGTGAAGTTGAGTGCTGTTGCGTGAGTCATGCTGCAGTTGGTTGTTTGTTATATTTTTAGCAAGAAAGACATTCCGAGCCGAAGCCGTCCCCGCTGGTTTTCAGAGTGCTACGGCATATGGTGGCGAGATTAGCCCTCGGGGTCTCTTCTCCCCGTGCTGGGCAAGGGATTTGCACCAGTCACTTTAATTAATCTAATCATAAAAATAAGAATCATGTCGTTCAGAATGTGTGGCCTCCCTTTTGGCAGGGATCGGTGTTAATGATTTCTACTGGCATACTTTTTTTTTTTTTTTTTGCACATCCATGAGGGAATCCAACTCTCGGTCCAAAAGAAAAAGAAAAGAAAATGCAATGAAGCTTTGAAAGAAAATAATCATGGCTTATATTTATGTAATAAATAGAATTCTTTCCATGAGAACAAAAAAAAAAATTTGTGGAATGTTCTGGTTTTCCCATTAAACCACAGAATGGAGACTCTTAAAAAAGAGAGAGGGTTGTGTTATCCATAATTATCCATCACCCATCCTCTGAGAGTTAGGAATTTACATGAGGGAAGTGGGAGAGAAATGTGTTAGGGAGTTAGGCTGGAGGTCCTGGGCTAAGCCCCACCTCTGGCTACGTGTTTTTCTTATCTTTATCTTTTCAAGACTATGTAGCCTCTGCTCACAGTGTGTCTGATAAGGACATGTGAACCTCCTAATGCTCACCTTAGCCAAATGCTTAGACATGTCACTGTGATGAACTGTCATTATGGAATATTCATTTCATTGTTCCATTGAGCAGTTTAAGGTATGAGTATTTGTGTGATTTAAAAAAAAAACACTCCGTGTTGATATAGACTGTGTGGAAGGAAGTGTAGAATATCGCTTACTTGCTCGTGACGTATTAGAAGAGCTCAGGCTAGGCTGGGTGTCGTGGCTCACGGCTGTAATCCCAGCACTTTGGGAGGCCAAGGTGGGAGGATTGCCTGAGCCCAGGAGGTTGAGGCTGTGTGGAGCCAGGATGGCACCACTGCACTCCAGCCTGGGCAATAGAACGAGATCCTGTCTCACAAAAGGAAAAATGAAAAAAGAAGATCTCAGGCTTCATCTTCAGAAAAACTTGAGTCGGCCTTCCAGATCTGCCGCTTGTTAGCTGTGTGACCTTTGAGATTAAGCCTTGGCTTTTCCTCCTGTGAAATCCTCGCCTGCCTCGTAGGGTTTTCGAGATTAAAGGAGTTGAAGCACACCAATTGCAGCAGCCCCGGGGGCCCTGGAAGCATCTGGGATTGGGCCGTGGGTGTGAACCAGAATGAAGGGCCCGTTCGGACTTCCCACAGCTGTAAATGCTCACGTGACTCCGACAATCCAGTCAATCCTAGACGATCTGGGATTGTATGTTCTATCTGTGGATGAGCCAGGCTCACAGGTCCTCTTCTGCCTTCTGTTTCTCTTTTCCTACCAGGTCACACCTTCACGGAGAAGTGGCCCTGGGACAATTATGTTGTGGAACTGGAGGCGGGAGGCCTGGGTCTTGCCCGGGCTCTGCCATAAATTTGCTGTGTGAACTTTAGGCAAGTCACAACCTCTCTGGACCAACTTCCTCCTCTGTAAAAGGAGAGAAGGGGACCAGGTGATACCTAAGGTCCCTTCCAGTTCTAAAATACTGTGGCTCTGTCATGGAAAACATGAGCCAGGCCAAGCGCGGTGGCTCACGCCTGTCATCCCAGCATTTTGGCAGGCCGAGGCGAGAGGATTACTTGAGCCTAGGAGTCCGAGACCAGCCTGGGCAACGTAGTGAGACCTCGTCTCTAAAAAATTAAAATTAAAATATTATTTAGAAACAAACAAACAAAAAAAACCCCAAGCCTTTCTATTCCCTTGATAGTTACTAGGAGTCTAGTGAAACGGTTTTGTTTTGGAAATTAACCTTGGAAAGAGAGGCTTCTTGTTCCCTGCTCTTATTATCCTTTTGCCAAAATGATAAAGTCATGAGCACACTGACTGAGTACTTATAGTGCACCATCACTTAAGTACCCTGTAGGTATAATGGATCTCATTTCATTGAGGGAAAAATAAAAGTTCAGAGAGTCTAAGAAACTTGCTAGAGGTCACACAGCTAGAATGCGACTGTGTCAGAATTCAAACCCAAGTCTTTCTGGATCCCAAAGCCTGGGCTCTTGAGCCACCACGGGGGGTTGACCATGGAGAGGACAACACAGGCCCCAGGGAGGCTCCCTTCAGGGAGCCCAGAGGACTGGGGTGCTTCTTCCTCTGAGGAGGGCTCACGTGCCTTCCATTTCCTGCTCTGTGACGTTTCTTTTGCTTTTGTGTGTCCCAGTTTTTCTTTTCTTTTTTTTTTTGTTTTTGAGTTGGAGTCTCACTCTGTCACCCAGGCTGGAGGGCAGTGGCA